CCAGCCTCAGATCCACAAGCCTGTTTGGCTCAAACCGCCCCGAGACAGGCCACGAGACTCAGGCATAGCGAGCAGGCCCGAGCGGTCTTGCGTGCTCCCTGCGCGCGCCTCGCTGGATGGAGGGGTCCACTACCTGGGGCGACGCCAGGGGACAACACATAGAAGCAGTACTCGGGGGCGCCGCATGGGGGCACCACGCGGGGGCAACACGTGGGGACAGCACGTGGGCGGGCAACACGTGGGCGATACCAGCTGGGACAGTGCAGCGGGCGCGACTTCTATCCTTGGAAATTCGCTACGAGGGCCAGGGCGCCTCTCTGCCAGCGTCCCCTCAACCTTGTTCGCGAATGCGTGGCGACACGCGCAATGTGAATCCAAAGAATTTCACGTCAGCCCCCTTGCGGGTAGCTGGAGCGCTGCCCTCACTACCTCCTGAACATCCTCGTCCCGCTCCGCCTCCTCCGCAGCAGTCACATCCGGCTTCTCATGCCACCTCCTCGTCCTCCTCGCCCTCTTCCTCCTCCTCCTCCTCCACCTCCTCCTCCTCCTCCTCGTCCTCCTCGTCATCCTCCTCAACATCATCACCATCATCACCACCAGCATCATCACCATCACCATCACCATCACTACCATACTAATGATAATAATCAATATCATCAGCAGCAGCATCATGATACTCATCATTATCATCCTCATCCTCATCCTCATCATCATAATCATAATCATCAGCATCAGCATCAGCATCAGCAGCATCATCATCAGCATCAGCAGCAGCAGCAGCATCATCATCATCATCATCATCATCATTATCAGTATCAGCATCATCATCATCAGCATCATCGTCATCATCATCGTCATCAATCCTCATCAGCAGCAGGAGCAGCCATCATCATCATCATCATCATCATCATCATCATCATCCATAATAATAATATTTCGCAACATCACCATCACAAGCACCAGCACAACTACTACCCCCATCAGTAGCATTAGCATGACCATCACCACAGACCCATAATCAAAATCACTACCAATACCATCGCCATCACCAACACGCACCACCTCCACCGTATCATCAGCATCAGCATCAGCATCAGTATCATCATCGTCATCTACAACAGTATGGCCATTACTGCAATAACATCATAGTTACCATCATCATCAACATCAGCATCAACAGCATCATCATCAGCGGCATCATCATTACCATCATCATCGTTATCACCATCGTCAACATCGTCACCGAACTTGTCGTCATCATCACCTTGATCCCCATACGAATCCTCATCCTCATTAGCATCACCATCATCATAATCATCAACAGCATCATCATCAGCATCAACATCATCATCATCATCATCATCATCAACATCATCATCATCATCAACATCAACACCATCATCACCACCACCACCATCATTTATTTCATCATCGCGCTCCTGCTTAGTTCCCGCTCCTCATCGAAACTCTTACTCCATCCCTCCTCACACTCTCTTTATACCCTTCCCGTTACCTTCCTCTCCTCATAACCATTCCCACTGTCCTCCTCCGACCTCTGCCCTCCTCCCCGCCTCCCGCATCCCTCTCCTCAGCAATCTAATCTTCCGCTTCATGCACTCCTGGCCCCTCCTCCCGCCAAATTTGCGTCCTGCTGGTACCCTTCCTCTGCCTTCCTCCCTCATCTCCCTCCTCCCCCTGCCCATCCACCATCCACCTCTTCAACTCTCCACACACACCCGCCTCCCACCTCGTCTCCCATCCTACTCCTCCTTCTCCCCTCAAACAATTGTGACTCAGGGTCCCGCAAGCAGTTTGGCTTATCCCTTGGGCCTAAATCGCACCTCGATGCCTCAATGTGGCGCTTGAGTGGCACCTCGTCTCCAGTGCTAACACATTGTAGATCGGGTTGGCTAAACCGAGGTGCAGTAACATGTGCTCTGCTTACTGCGGTTGTACAGACATAGTATGTGCTTGGGCATTGGTTCAAGGCAACACAGTCTGAATAATTTCATCACACCGCTTCAGTCAATGGCGCTGCGGCTTCATAACGTGTTGCATTCGGTAAGAGCACAGCCTGAAATCTGGCAGCGGATATTTCGCCCTCCCTGGCGGTCGGAGAGCTAGGGGTTCGCCCTTGTGGCTCAACACCATGGGTTGAGAGGCTTTTGCTTCAACGCGTTTCTTCTGTTGTGCATCAATTTGGCCTGGGCTGCTGCGCATATTGGGATTTACTGGTGTGTCTTTTCTCTCGGTGGCAGAGGGCTAGGAGTTGGCACACATTTCGATGCATTTTTTTCGTTGTGCTGCTGCTACACACGAGCCCAGGCCCTGGCCCCGGCTCCAACCCTGGCCGGCACAAGCCCCGGCCCCGGCGGGACACCCCCCTGGTGAGGGGGGGATTCTGCACCCTCCCCGCCCGGTCCCAAATGAGGAGGGGATCCCTCCCCCATGGGGGAGGTTTCCCCTCCAGTTCGAACTGGGAGGTACACTCCCCAGTTCGAGATCGTTCTTTCATCCATGGGGGTATACACGTGCTACCCGGGGGGGGGAAGGGGGTTGGCCGGAGGGGTGTAACGGTAACGGCGGCTGCGTGTACCCCCGAAGGCGCGCCCGCAACACCGGCGCAGCATAGGTGCGCTTACGACAACGCCTGAGTGCACCACAGCGCCTGTGCACCTGACCATCCGCGTGTGCAACAGTGCACACCACAGTAGCTGTGCACTGGACCGTTTTTGTAACCCCATCAAGCCATTAAGGACCCCCCTGGGGCTATCATTAGCACCGCACCGTAATCGAAAAATTCTGGGAGGCGACTTTCGCCGAACGATATGATTGACACCGCGCAAATAGAATGACCATGAATAATTCCCGCGCCCCGGCTCGGGTGGTATCCCAATTGGAAATGGAATAAGAATAAGAGTGAAATACGAGTACTAATAATACTAAGAATAATACAAATAATACGAATAGTAATAATAAGGATAAGGATGAGAGTAACGATAAGAAAACTCATACTGATCATAATCCGAATACCAATAAGAATAATGACAATAAACATGATAAGAATAATAATACTCAGAACAGTAATAATAATCAGAATAGGAATAATAACGATAACGCAAAAAGCTTTTTCTCATTATCTTCACCATCCTTGTCCTATACGATGTGTATTACCACTCCTGTGGAAAAATTGTGTTCTCCCGGCCGTCGTGTGGGGTAGTGCATCCGAGGATATCGCCCCCGCCACGCACGGCGCGTTATCTTAGCACCGCACCCGCACAAACTAATAACGACGGCTTGTCCAAAAAGACAAGAGGTACAATAGGACCAACACTGCCAATACTAATACAAATAAGAATCAGACTAAACATAATAATAAGCATACAAATGAGAGTAATGATCATAATGACAATACAAATCCGAAAACAGACGGGCTCCTCTGCTTCTTTCCTCCCTCCCTCGTTTTTCTCATTTTCTTCATCATCCTTGTCCTAAACGATTATTCTTACCACCCCTAGTGAAACATTGTTGTTTCCCGGCCGTCGTGTGGGGTAGTGCATCCGAGGATATCGCCCCCGCCAGGCACGGCGCGTTGTCTTAGCACCCGCACCGCCAAAATTATTCGCCCCCCATCGTAGGCACGGACGGTTCCTTTTCAAAGCTCGGCTCTCCATTGCGTGGGACTTAATGTTGTTATTGTTGGTGTTGGAGGTGCTGTTGGTGTTTTTGATGGTGATGTTGTTGTTGGTGTTGCTGTAATTGGCCTCGTTGTTCTAGATATAATTCGTATTGCTGGTATCATTTCGTTGTTCGTGTTGGTGCCGTGCCGTAAGGGAGTCTTGAGGAGGAGGAGCAGCAGGAGGATTTGTTCTGTTTAGCTGGGAATAATAAAAACAATAATAATAATAAGAGGAATGAAGGTCTGCTTGTTTCGGCGAGCAGACTCGTCTGCGTTCACATAAAGGTGCGAGGTGCCAAGGTAACGCTTCTGGGGTGCCGGGTGCGTTCGCCGACGCACATCACACCAGCCATGTGCACCACATCGTGGCCGTACACCACAGCGCCTGCGTGCACCAGAACGCTCGTGTGCACCACAGCACAGCGCCTGTCGACGTCACAGCACTTGCGTGAACCACATGACAATCTCATGAAGAAGACGAGGACGACGAGAGAGGGAACGCTACGACGACGATGACGACGACGACAACGACGACGACGACTACAACGACTACGACGACGCCGACGCCGACGACGATGACGATGACAATGCCTGTGCACCTTCGAGAGCCCCCCGGCCTCCTCCTCCTCCTCCTCCTCCCCCTCCTCCCCCTCCTCCTTCTGCTCATGGGCATGCCTAGTCCGATGGAAACTGCAAGGATTCACACATGTGGCCGGCTCCCAAACGTTACCCGGGGGGAGAGGGAACACGTGTTACCCCTGGAGCCTATGAAAGAACAATCTCTCGAATGTGGGGCGGGAGGGATATTTACCCCCCCCCCTTCGAACAAGGTGGGGCATGCCAATAACGAGAGAAAGCGCTCATTCGTATATGCCGAAGGCCGCGAGATAGCGCAAGGCAGCGCAGACAAGCGAAACGCACTGGCGTGGTCCGGCCCAGAGCGCGAAGATCAGTCCGACTGGGGTGATTTGGGAGGTACCGCACGGCCCAAATCAGACCCGTGCCCCCTTCCTGCTTCTGCTCTGCATCTGCCCTGGTGGCACCGCCCACAGAGGTTCGCATGGTGCTCGGCCTTCTCCTGACCCCCCATCTGCAAGGCCAGGCGGTAATGGAACGAGGCGTGGCCCGCCCCAGCAGTCGCTGCGGGGTTTCTAGTCTGCGCTGCGGGCATCCTGGGGGCGGGGGCCTGGCCATCGCTCGGACGTTCATTCTCTGTGTTTTTTTCGGTTTCGTGCGTGTTTTTTTCGCCAAATGATCAAGGATGCTCCTCGATGATCCTCGCCCAAGGAGAACACGTCCGAGCGATGCCAAGGGGCTGGTCCTCTGGAAGCGAAGTGTACTCGTACACGCGGTTCATGGCGATGAGCTGGTACTGCGCCGAGGACCTGCCACGGGCAGGGCGACCCTCCCGCCTTCCCCTGCGGCCCTGCAGACTGGTGCGCCCTCACCGAGCACGCTGGACCCCGACCATGAAACGGCCACCAACCATGCTCGCTGAGAGCCTTGAGACAACAACGAGGGGCAAGCGAGCAACATCCACGCGGCCGCGCGGCGGCGCCGATGTCATGGTCTTCCTCCAGCGTGGCGCAGCGGCATCGATGCCCCAGACGTCGAGTAAACCGAAGGCCCACCCGGCAAACGCCGCACCTCCACTCCACGGAGCCACGGTCTCTGAAGCATGTCACCCAACCTCAGCGGGAAGCAGGACAGCAGCAGCTCAAGCAGGGAGACGGAGGCAGACAGCAGGGAGAAGGAGGAAGGGGCAAGAGCAGCACGGAGAGAGGGAGGGCATCGAGCGAGGGAGGAGGCAGCCGAGCAGGAACGAGGAAAGGCACGGCAGGCAGCGCGCAACAGCCACGCGGCGTCGCCGCCGGCACTTCCTGACCTCATGCAGGCCTGCCCAATTCTTTGGGCTCCGGCGTGACGAGGGGAACGTGCTGCTGCGTTTGTACTCTCCGTCTTCGCCTGATGCTTGGCCTTCCTATCCGACGTCTCCTCCAACACACACTGTCGGAGATCCGCGCGGATCTTTTGGGTCGGCGCTGGACCCCCCTCGCTAGCGCAAGGAGCGTGCGTGCCAGGGGCGGCGCTGGAGGCGCCGCAAGGAGATCAAGCGCACACCCAAGAAGGCCGCGCGGACATCCAACAAATTCGACTGGCCCCCGTATCCGATGCCTCCTCTGGACTCCTGCTCCTGCTCCATGTCGGGGGCCCAAACCGTGTGGTGACGGACCGCAGCATGGTGATCTTGGAATCCCCGTCGACCTCACCGCACGGCCCGTCACCGTGCGGTTTTGGGACCCTGGAGGCCCCAGTCGCCCGAGACGTCCTCGGAGAACGACTCGAACTCCAGAGCCGCGCGGTGACTTCGCACACCGCTTGGGGGCCTCCCATCTCCCAAATCTCGGTGACCCCTCCTCCTCCCGGGTCGGGGGCGAGGACCCCGTGTTGAGGCTGCCCTCCACGCCCACGATGATCCCGAACCTGCGGGCCACCGCGCCCGCGGGAGCGGAAGCGCAGGCGTGGGAGGGGCGCCAGGTGGGCAAGCATAAGCATAGCCCAAGGCTCGAGCCCAGCAATGTCTTCCGCTTTCGTTGGGTATTCGTGCTCCCTCGTTCTGACTTCCTCCCGCGAGGTCCTGGAGGTCGTCAAACCATCGCCCTGGAGGTCCTGGAGGTCGAACAAAAAAATTGTCCTGGAGGTCGTCAAGCCAGCGTTCAGCTCGAGCCCTGGCCAACACATCATAAACTTTCGCAGGCCCGCGCGGATGTCCTGGGTCGGCGCTGGCGCCACACCCCCCCCCCTGGCCGCGCTCCCCGAGGAGGGTCCAGCGCTGATCTCCAAGGCTTCCGCGCTGCCCTCCGAAGGCATATGCGTTCGTGGAGCTGTGCTTTCTTAAAGGGGCCACAGGACACACAAATTAATACACACAAATAAAAGCATTCCCCATAGTTTCCCACGTTTTCTGGGTTTTTGCCTTCCCCCCCACTTCCCATAGTTTCTTATATTTTCCTGGGGATCGTCGATTAATTGTGTCTGTGTTTTTGTCCCTCCTGATTCCTCGAGGGACGGAGATAAGGGAGGGGCGCGCGCGCGAAAAGAGCACACGATCCCAACCCAGATCGCCTTATATGAAGAACTACGCTCTTCTCACATCATCCGGCTTACTGTTCACCATCCACCACTCACAGGATCAGCACACGAAAGGGAGGACGCAGGGTGTGGATGCGCCCGTTGAGACCATCAACCATGGACGGATCGGTGGGGCGAGGCTCTTGTGCCGCCGGGCGGAGTTGCATGGCGTTGATGACCAGGCTGGCGGTCCCGACGTCCGTCGCGCCTGCGAGGCCAGTAAGATGAGAGCAGGCAGACAGGCAGCGTCATCCAATCTCGCCAATACCCCTGGTTGAATGCCATGCTACATGTTGGGCTGCATGCATCCCGCATCCCCCCCAGAATCTTCCACGACGTGACATGGCATGGGGGAAAACGAGGAAAGAACACGAAGAGGAGAGCCAGCGGGAAGGGGAAAACGGGAAGGCGAGAGCAATGCGTAGAGACAGCGAGCGAGAGAGAGAGAGGAAACAACATAAAAAAGAAGGACGACGACGACCGGGTGCATAGTGGCTGGATTCGTACAGGTCCGCCGTGCCACAATTTTTTGACGCGACTGTGCCATCGCGCTGACGGGCACTCAGAGCACCTGGGCCCGCCGCCGCGGGTGCACCTCCCCTGACCTTCCAGGAGGGCTAAAGCACATCCTAGAGGACCTCGACATCTGAACCCTAGTCGAGGGGTGGGTGTAAACAGTCCAGCGGGGTCTATAGGGGAGGGCCATTTTCTAGCACTCTGGCGGGTCAGGGTTCGAGGACCAAAGACGGCAGTAACATAAGTTCTCGGAGGTCTGCGCGAAACTCTTGGATCGGCACTGGACCCCCCCTCCCTGGCGCGCGCAGCGCGCCAGGGGTGGCGCCAGGGGCGCCGAGCGCCGACCTGAAAAATCAAATCCACGCGGACCTCCGAGGAAGTATGTTTATGTAGTGTTTTGTTGTTCTCTCTCTCTCTCTCTAATTCTCTCTCTCTCTCTCTCTCTCTTTCGCGCCCCCCCTTTCGCCGCAGCCCCCTCCCCCCCTTCCCGCTCTCGCTGTCCCCCCTGCCGTTGCCCCTCCCCTGGTGGTCCTCGGGCCACATCACTCGGGCCCCTGGCGGCCGTTCGGGTCGACACGGGCGGACCCCGGAGCGCTGCCGGCGAGGCGCAGATGTCGAAAGCCAACCGGAGGCTGGAGGGCCGCCGAGGCCCAACGAATCCGTCCGACAACTTCGGCCCGAGCCATCCTCCCCCCCCACATCCGCTCTCTCTTCCCTGTTGCCGTCTGCATCCCCACCACTCCTCATCTTCCCCTCCATGCCCCCCGCCGTTCCCCTCTCTGCCCCCCCGCCCCCCTCCTCCCCTCCTCCGACCTCCACGAGCCTCAAATAGACCCCCATTGGCGTCCCTGACTACCGGAACGCGCTTTTCCCCCTCTCCTCCAGGCGTCACCCCCCCCAACCGCTCTGACCTCCCCCCATTCATTCCCCTCCCCCCCTCTCCCTCTCTTCCTCCCTCCCTTCTTCCCTCCCACCTCTCCCTCATGTCCTCCCTCTAGTTGTATGAATTAGTTTCTCGGTCTCTTTCTCGTTTTCTCTCTCCCTCTCTCTCTCTCTCTCTCTCCTTATGTTCGTTAATGTCTCTCTATAGACAGGTATAACTGTGTCTATGTGAAGACACAGTCCTCGACCGGTCTCCTGGCGATGTATTGATATATCTCTATCTCTTTCTATGCATCTCGCTATGTTTATATGGATATGCATGTGCGTGTGCACGCATGCATGCGAGTATGTACGTTTTACACCCATATATATATATATCTATATTTTATGCATATATATACACGTATATGCACACCTGTAGGTATGTGTGTGCGTATGTTTGTATGCATATACAAATATTGCAAATATGTGGGGCGCGGAGGTATGTATGATTTCATGTGTGTAAGTGTGTATAGATATGCCTGTCAACGCATTCTGTATCTGCATATGTGTATGTATATGTATGTGTGTACGCATATGTATGTACGTATACATGCACATGTGTACGTATGTGTATGTAGGTAGGTAGGTAGGTAGGTATGTATATGTATCTATGCATCCATGCATGCAAGTATCTGTGCACGTTTGCGTGAAATCCTGCATGCATGCATGTATGCATCCATGTATGTGTATGCATGCATACATGCATGTAAGCGTGTTTGCATGCATGTGTGTGAATGGGTGCATGTCTGTATGTATGTATGTCTGTGTATTGATGTATATATATGTATGTGTATGTATGTATGTATGTATGTGTGTATGCATGTCCGTCTGTATGTATGTATGTATGTATGTATGGATGTATATATGTATGTGGTTATGTGTGTATGTGTATATGTGTATATATGTATGTATGTGTGGATACATGCATGTATGTATGCATGGGTGTACGTATGTGTGTATGGATGTATGTGCGTCTGTATGTTTGTATGTCTGTGTGTATGAATGTATACATATCAGTGAAGATGTGTGTGCATACTATATAAATATGCATATGCCTATGCAAATTCCCTCGTATCCCTTTCTCTCTGCATTTCGAAATTATTATATCCCTCTCTATCTATCCTCCCCTCGCGTCCCCCTCTCCGTGCCTCGCTCTTCATTTCCCTCCCCCTCCCTCTCTCTCTCTCCATCTCCCTCTCCCTCTCCATCTCCCTCTCTCTTTATCTCTCTCTCTCTCCCTCTCTTTCTTTCTCGCTCTCTCTCGTTCTTTATCCCTCTGCCCCCCTCTCCCCACATCTCTCTTTCTCTCTCTCTCTCTCTCTCTCTCTCGCTCTGACCCGCTCTCCCCCGCTGGACTACTGGCTTCGAACCCCAGCGAGTCCCTGACCACCCCGATGGCCCGCGGGGCCCGAGGACGACCCCCGGCAGACAGAGAACGCGGCGAACCACCTCGGGCCACATCTCCTCGAACCGCCGACGCCTCTCCGGCCGCCGCCCCCGGTCCCCGGCCACGGCGCCGCCAGGCCGCTCCGGGCAGCCTGGAATCCACACGGCCATCAGCGCCAGGCCGGTGACGAAAATGCCCCCGAGGATGAAGAGGCGGTTGCAGATCCACCGGATGCACACGATCCTGCCCGCTCAGCACCGTTTTCTCCGATCCCTATATCTCCACCGGCCCGGCGTGGCCCTGGCCCCACTGGCCGACTTGCCCAACCAGTCCTACGGGGATATATGATCCAGGGTGTTGGGTGCCCACGTCCCCCTCCCCAAGGAGGGTATGGGTCGCAAAGTTCCCACGTCTCCGCCCCCCCCAGATGGTACGGGCTGGGGGCGGCGGCGACGACGGCAACGGCGAAGGCGACGACGACAGCGGCGACGGCGGCGACGACGACGGCGAAGACGACGCGGAAGACGACGACGACAACGACGACGACAGTCACGACGACGGCGACAATGAAGACAACGACGCTGGCGGCGCTGCCTTTGCTACGACTGCGCCGGAGACTCGCACGCAAGCGCGCACGCGCACGCACGCACGCACGCACGCACGCACGCACGCACGCACGCACGCACGCACGCACGCACACACACACACACACACGGACACACACACACAACCACCACGCAGCGCACCATACCACACCCAAGGGGAGGGGGACACGCACGCACGTGCGCAAACCACCACACCACACCACACAGCACACCACCACACCACACCACGCCACACCCACGGGGGGGGGGGGGGGGACACGCACGTACGCACGCACGCACGGGCGCAACCCCCCACACCACCACACCAAGCCACACCCACAGGAGAAAGGGGAGGGGGAGGGGGGGGCACGCATGTACGCACGCACGCACGTGCGCAAACCACCACACCACACCACAGCGCACCACATGGGGGGGGGCACCCATCATTGGAGGGGAGGGGTGCTGGACACCAGGCCATCTGGTGGAAGGGGGGGGGGGGGAGGGCAGACCCTGGACCATATATGCATATTTTTCTTCGGGTTGGCATGTCCCCACCCAGGAGGGTGGTCTGGTGGGGCTGAGATAGCGCCTGGCCCAGCGGGAATGGGCATAGGTTAGAGACGATGCTGACCCGCGCGGCGCAGGGAGGCCACTCGACTGGGCGTGTCGCTCGGCCCCAGCCTCCACATGCAGCCCTCCGACGCTGCGATCCTTGCGCGCAATTCCGTAGCTGTTCCACGAAGTCCGACGCCGTGTGTTTTTGTCTTCGACAGACTCGCCATCGCTCGGACGCCCATTCCCTGTGTTTTTTTGTTCGGCTTCGTGCGTGTTTTTTTCGCCAAATGATCAAGGATGCTCCTCGATGGCCCTCGCCGAAGGAAAAATGCACACGTCCGAGCGATGCCAAGCAGAAGACGTGGGCCCCGAGAAGGCTGGGCACCTATACGCGGAGGCCGAGACCGGCCAGCAGCCTCACGCCGTGAATTGTTTGCGGGGCGCGACGGCATCAGTCCGGGGGCAATGGAGCCCGCTGGGCCCATCGACAAAACCAAGACGAGGACCCCCTGGGAGGGAGGGGTCCAGGCTTAAGTCGGGCCTGTCCCCCTACAAGGGGATTATTCTACGAAAAATTAGAAATACCCCAACAATAATCAAAAACTAATCCTTACATAGTCTGGGGACTATTTTTTGAATATTGTTTGACCTTCTTGGGGTATTTGTGGGGTATTTGTTTCATTGTTCGTCGAAAATCCCCCTGTATGGGGGACAGGCCCGACATGACGGTATGCTCGGGCGCACGCCAGCATGGATTACGGATCCGTGGATCAGGGCTCGACCTACACAGTGCCTTCCGTCTTCGTTGTGTATTCGACTTTTCTCTCGTTCTGTTAAGTCGGGCCTGTCCCCCTACAGGGGGATTTTCGACGAAGAATAAAAAGTACCCCCCAAATTATGAAAATACCCACCAAAAAATACCCCCAACATATCTTTTATTTCTCGTCGAAAATCCCTGTAGGGGGGCACGCCCGACTTAATTCGTTCTGTCTTCGTTCCGCCCTTGCTGCAACACGAAGTCAACACGAAAGCGGTCCACGAAAAACCGCGAAAAAACACCTTCTGGGTGGAGCCCCGCCGTGGATCTGGCGCGAGGCCGCCAGATCCGCGCATCGGCGCCCGACTTGGCCACGGGGCTCGCCGAGCCTGTACGGACGCGGGGGCCCGTCGCCACTCCGCGCGCCCGACTCCGTGCCGACGCTTCCTCGTGGCACGGAGCAGCTGCGGCCTCGCCCGCTGGCCTCTGGCACCCCGCACGCCCCTCCCGCTCCCCTCGATTTCTGGCCCCCGCAGCTTCGAGCCCGCTGCCCCGGCAGCCCGAGGCTTCCCAGCTCTGGCCCGAGCAGGGGGGCGGCGTCCGACTCGGACCAGCATTGGAACGCATGAGCGGCGGGGTGCGGCACGAGACACGCGACGCGGCAAGAGCGGGAAACTCACCGCGCAGATGTCTATACCACAGCCACGCAGCCCAGGAGACCGGCGAGGGGCGAGCGTGCACCGCTCAGGCGTGACCTCAGCTCCTGGCGGAGAACTGCGCGGCACTCGGGCGGGAGCATGACGTATACCTCTGTCCCGATGTCGGCGTGAGAGCCACATCGCCGATGCACCGGCGATGCGGCGGGATCCTGCGGCCTCGTCTGCTCCGGAGAAGGCCTAGGGCGGCCAGAGCCAGGCCGCCTCTGGACTGGGCGAGGCCCAGGCGGGCCCGGGCGCCTGCTCGCCGGAGAGGAGACTGCGCTCGACCCCTCCTGCGCGTCGTGCCTCCTGCCTCCTCCTCCTCCTGCTGCTGCTCCACCTCCTCCTTCCCTCGCGCACTCCTCGTCCCGTTCCTCCTTCCCCTGTAGATCCCTACTCGCCGCGATGCTGTGGAGGCATGGTGTCTGGAAGTCGGATCTGAACACACACGCACATACACATCTACTCTCGACGCATACCGTGGAATCGCATATACTTACGCTACAGATGCGCCCCCGCCCCGCAGACTCGTCCTCCCCCCGAAGTCCGAGCTGACCATTATTTCTGAAGGCTGCGGGCTTCTGAACTGATGGGAAGGGGACCCTCTCATGCTGGAGCTGACCAGAGAGGAAGCGGAGGAGACGGCCGACGAGGACGAGCGGACGAGCCACAGCTTGGGAAGCCATGCTTATCCCCGTGGGGGGGGGCACAACGAGGCGAGGATTTACCCATCACCACTACTGCGGCATCGCTCTTCGGGGACCTCGGCAGGCGGTGAACATGGATATGTTTGCCCTGGGTCCCTTCAGTCGGGAGCGGCCAAGAGGGGGGTGTCCAAGAGGGGGGGCTGCAAATCATGACCGGCGGCATGTGCGCGGCCCAGCGGCGGGGCCAGGGACGTAATGAGATAAGAAGAGGCGCCATGAAATCTGGGGAAATATCATGGCCCACGCCATGATATCCACCCCACCCTAGTCATCCCCCCCCTCTTTGCCGCCCCCGCGACTCAGGGGGTGAGGGGGAACGTCCGTGGGGGACCAGCTCAGGGGGGAAGCACCGAGCTGGAACCGGCGATGCATCGCCGACAGAGCGCCGAGGGGCCTCCGATAGCGAGCCCGCACGTTCCTGAGGCGGGGCGGGGCATCGGGCCCCCATCGGCGATGGATGGGCGACTGGGAGTCGATGCGTCCACCCCCGGCCCATCCCCTCCCCTGTCGCTGCCCCCTGGCCTTCGGTCGGGGATCTTCTGACACGGGTCAATCCAGATCCGGGTCAGCAGAAGACCAAAAACTGCAGTGCAGGAAAAAAAACTGCAAGGCAGATCTTCGCAAACCCGGGTCAGCCAATATGCGCGGCCGCCTCGCGGCCACGAGCGGCTCGCTAACCCGGGTCAGCCAGAGGGGGTCTTCGCAGGATTTTGCAGGATCTGGTGCCCTGGCTGACCCCCGTTTGCATTGACCCCCGTCTCAAGGCTCCCGATTCGGGTCATAGCTCAGTTCTCCAGTGGCCCTTCGGGACGATCTGGGCACCCCTGGAACGCCCTCGGCGAGGCGCGGCCGCGGGAGCGGACCCAGAGGCTGGAGAACAATAGAGAAACCACGACAACGTCCGAAACCTCGAGTCCCTGAGCCTGCGTCCGAAAGCAAATGGAGCGGACCCCGAGGCCGTAAAGCCATCAAGAAACTACAACAACGGCCGAAACCTCGAGTCCCTGAGCCTGCGTCCGAAAACCAACCTCGAAACTCGATCCTCGAACCTTCTCCTGGAGACTATCCCCCACTAACGTTGCCGTTAAATTGAGCAGGGACTGACGGTCCTGGCATTCCTATAGGCTACCACGGAATCTCCCTAGACCAAACAAAGGTTTCACAACAAATAACACGGATCTTGTAAAACAACATGTTGTCTCAAACCAAAGACAGAAATTATATAATAGCATTCTGCGCAAACCGCAACATGCTCTTAGAAACTGATTCGTGGGCCTACAGTCTAGACCATTCCGCCATAAACTCGTCGCAAGAAATACAATCTTAAGAATCGTCTAAATTTCTGTGGCCAGGGTTGGGTGTCTTGCTTGGCGGCTGCCAACAGAGAAACTCAGGGAACCCTGTGCCGTTCACTGATGGCTCGCACAGAGCATGTCCTCGTCAAGACACCTTAAGGAACCCTGCCAACCGCGGCAACTTTTCAACCGCTGCAAACCTTCAACCCGGAGACACACCACACAAACCCAGGGCTCCCCAGCAAAACGCAGGGCGCTTCGCTGGCCATCGCTCGGACGTCCATTTCCTGTGCTTTGTTCGGTTTCGTGCGTGGTTTTTTCGCCAAATGATCAAGGATGCTCCTCGATGGTCCTCGCCGAAGGAAAAATGCACACGTCCGAGCGATGCCAAGCGCTGCTCGACCGTGTGGGTATCCGAATCCAGCCGCCGCCTGGCGCCGTGGCCGTGGCCACGCCAGAGGCCACGGGGTCCTGCCCAGGAAGTCCGCGCTGATCATCCGGCGCACCATCAGGCCGAAGGCCAGCTGCCGCGCTTCCTGTCGGCTGAGTCGGAGATTCGGCTACTGAATCCGTCGATTTGCCCCAGAACCTCCTCTCGTCGGATCAACAACGAGTGCGTGATGTCTATCCACGTAAGTTTTGTTATCTACGTGTTACGCGGTGCGATATGTCATGCACTGTATGCTGTGCAGTCGATGCTGTGCAGTATATGCAGTTCAATAGATGTTGTGCAAGCTACGTGGTGCAGTCTAAGTGATGCAATATGTGTGTTGCTACCTATGGTGTGCAATTTATGTGATGCAATCTACATGGTGCAATGCACGTGGTGCAACATATGTGGTGCAGTCTATGTTGTGCAATACATATGGTGCAATATACGCGGTTCAATTTATGTTGTGCAATCTGTATAGCAATCTAAATGGTGCAACCGATGTGGTGCAATATGATTTGTGCACTCTAAGGGGTACAATCAGTGCTATGCGATCTGTAATGCGATATGTTGCGCACTCAGTGTGGCGCCGCAGGCGGGATTGTGCTGTGCAATCTACATGGTGCAATCCAGCGGCGGCGACGGGCGGCGACGGGGCGGCGACGAGGATGCGACGGCGGCCACATAACCGCGAGACCGAAGACACGGCCCAGACGAGGTGCGGTGACGAGGCGGCGACGGGGCGGCGACGGAAGCCACACAGCCGCCAGACCGAAGGCACGGCCCAGTTCCTGAGAACAGAAACAAAAAGGCCCCCGAAGTGCACGCATCGTCCGGGGGAAATGTTAGCAGATCGAAGAAAATGATAAGTACGTTAAGAAGAATTGTTTTCGCATATCGAAATAATGATAAATGAAAAGTATTGTAATGATAAAAGGTTAGTGGATCGAATGAAAATGATAGTAGACGAACTATTTTTCGTAGACTTGAAGACAAGACGACGTCTGGTTTGGATCAGTGCTGCAGTCGACCTCCTACTCGACGCGTGGGGGGGGGGCGGGCCGCCACCGCGCCGCGCGGCCGCCGAGCCGTCATCGCACGGGTGCCTGGGCTGTCCCACGGCGCCGCCATCGGCACCGCTCGGGCATCAGTCGCAACAAAACATTTGGGGATGGACAGACCCCCCTTTCGTAAAACGTGGCTTAGTGAAAACGACCTGAGGCCCAAACCTGGCGGGCGCAAGCCTGGAAAAGAACGGCCACGGCGCCCTCTCGAGAACCGAAAACGGAGAATTCACTAATCGACGTGTCACTGTTGGGAGGTCTGTCCACCCCCGAGACATGCGGCATCGCGAAAAAGCGCGACCAGCGCTTTGGACCCCATCTTGCTGCGTCTCGTTCCGAGCCGGATCGATCTGCGATGGTCCCTGGGGCCCGGAACCGGGCGAACACGCCCGTTTGTGAACCAAATTGCGGCGCCAGGATTTCTGGGGAGGGGGGCATCGGCATCGACATGCCCTCCCTCCTCAACGAGCAACTCAACAGGCCTCTGACCCACAACCCAGGCACGTTGGCAGGTTGGGACGTAAGCCACTAGATCCGCCGCCACATGTGGCTTGCCACAGGGGTGCACGGCGTGCTGAATGTTTGCTGTTGCTGGTTAGGGTTTCTTTTAGAACTCCCAACGGCGCTTAGGCCCAGCCCGCTGGCCACCCGGAAATCCCGGGAAAATGTAGAGTCTGCATGCTTCCGCTCCGGAATGGCCGAAAGATGGCCACCAAGGCTAAGATCGAAGAAAACCCACGATTCCGGCCGATCACCTCCAAGACTGTTCGAATATCTGAGCAGGGACCGACCGTCCCGGCATTCCTATAGGCCTACGACGACATGTTATTCGAACCCCAAAATGTTCTCATAACAAAAGCAATGTTCTTAGAACCTACACCCGATGTGCTAAAACAACTCAGTCCCAACCAGAAATGTTCTAAGCACAGTTCGCGCGAAGCACAAAGGGTTCTTAGAACATGCCTTGCTGGGCATGTAGGCGAGCCAGAACGCTTTGCCACTGCTTGAGAGATGCCTCCGAGACCGCCCCAAGAAGCGCCCAAGAGGCGCTTAAGACGACGCAAGAGGCATCCAAGAACTCCTCCGGGAACGCCCGAAGAAGCCAAAATCACTGTTTTTCTTCCGCAGGTGTCTGGAGAATTTTGGCATTTGCTTCAAAACGGCCTTCCGACGGTCCAAGAGGCCCCCAATATTGCCCAAAGATCGCCCAAGAGGCCTCCAAGATGGCCCCAGGACGACCCAAGCGACTCCCAAGACGGCTCCCAAAGGGCCCCAAGACTGCCGAGGATGTCTCCAAGACGCCCACGATGGCCTTCAAGACGACCCTGAAGCGCCCAAAGAATGCCTTAGGACGGCCCGGAGAGGCTCCCAAGACGGCTTCTGACGGTGTCATACCAGGAACGCCGTATGATGGCCAAAGAGGCCCTCAAGAAGGCTCCAAGGGCCCCCGAGGGACCCAAGAAGGCCCCCAAGAGGCCTCCAAGAGGCCCCCAGGAAGCTCCCAGGAGGCTCGAAGAATGACCCCAAAGCTCCCAAAAGATCTCCTCATCCCATCTTCCTATATCTTCCCTCACCTCCTATTCCTGCCCCACGTGTTCCCCGAAGAACTTCCACAATCCCTGGCGAACGTATGGTCCAATAGCGTGGCCAAACGTTGCACGTTTGGCCACATAGGCGTATCCTAAAAGGCAGGGGGCGGTGGAGATTCGCAGTAGGCGTCTTCGATACGACTTCACATCCCCCTCCTCCACCTCCTCCGCCTCCTGCAGCCCCTCCCCACAACATCGAAAATTAGCGCGCCCGGGGGACCCCCCCTCCCGGACACTGGCTTCCCTAACCGCCCCCCCCTCCAGTGAGTTGCAATGGGGGGGTTCGAACCAGGCGACCCCCCTGAACTGCAAGGGGGGGGCGGCTCGAAACGCCCCCCACCCACTCCCCCACGCCTGAATTGTAAGGACGACAACGGCGACGGACCCCCCCCTGAGTTGCAACGACGACACAGACGACGGACAACAGACGATTAAACACGCGGCATGAGCATTACAACACGCACAACAAAATCAGCCAGCGCAGACTAGAATAAATCAGAAGGCTGACATGGAGTGAACTCGATTGGAATGAAGTAGAGACTTGACAGGGGCAGACTGGGCTGTACTGGGATGGACTCTACTCCACTATGCTCTGCTCTACTCTAATTCTTCTGTATTATACCAGACTCTACCCTACCACCTCTCCTGCTCTTCTCGAGATTAAGATGCTCTACTATTTCATCATACCCTAACATACTACTCTACTACACGCTACTCCCATTCCCACTCTACTCTACACGCCCCCGCCTGCACTTACCTCCAACTCCAATCAAGTTCTACTCTACTCTAACAGGTTCTACTGTATTCAGCTATTTCCTTCTCTACTCTACTCGAATACTCTCTACGTTATCCTACTATACCCAGCTCTACTCTACCATCCACCCTACTCCCTTCTACTCTGTTCGACTCTACCTTACTCGATAATACCCTATCCTGCCCCACCCTACCTTAACATACTCTGCCCTACTATCATGTGTTCCTACTCTACTCTGCTCCACTCTTCTCCTAATAGTAGTATACTCTAATCTACTCTCCGCTCCTCTACTGTGTTATAGCATGCCCGACTTTATTACACCATCGACCGTACGCCATCTACTCTACTCCGATCTACTGTACCCACCCCACCCTCCAAGCGTCCTCAGAACGCACTCTGTCTTATGTACAAGTGTTATTATCCTCCTCCTTCTCCTCCTCCTCCTCCACCTCATCCATCTCCCTTTGTCCTCTCTAAAGTCCGCGCCCACATCCTCCCCCTCATCCCCTTCTCCCAACTCCTCATCACCCTCACCCTCCTCGTACTGTTCGCCCTCCACTTGTTTTTCTGGCCCTACCCCCTTAGAGGAGGAAGGGGGATATTGGTAGGCTGACTCGGACGTTCTCTGAGCTTGCTGAGGTGCCCCATGGCTTCTGCGGGTGCCTGATATAGTGCTGTGGACCACCTGCGAGTAGGCTACTGTCCAACTTCGGGGGCGTCCAAGAGGGAGGAGGGCGTCCAAGAGGGAGGTTCGCAACTCATGGCCCGAGCTATGTGCGCGGCCCGGGGCGATAAGAAGAGGCGCCGTGAAATCTCGGGAGGCATCATGGCCCTGGCCATGACTGATATTCCCTCCCCCCCCTGGTCATCACCCCCCGCTTGGCCGCCCGAGATCTGGAGAATACCTGACGACGAGTGCGAGCCCATCCGGGCAATCTAAAACAGGGCTAGGATCGGGATAAATCGCTCCAGAGCGTTCCGGAGCGCTCTCAGAGCGCTCCGGAACGCTCTGGAGCGGCCGCGGCGCCCAATACATCCTCCAAACCCGCCGATTCTCAGAGATTTCGAGTCATCCCGATCCGATTTTTTGTCCCGATCTTCGTGTCGTTTTACAATCCCGCCTTGGCCTGGAAGGTACAGTCCGGGCAGACGCCCTGCGCCGCACGAGAGACCCACGGCTGGAGAGGAGGAGGAGGAGGAGGAGGAGGAGGAGGAGGAGGAGGAGGAGGAGGAGGAGGAGGGGGGAGGAGGAGGGGAGGAGGAGGGGGGGAGGAGGAGGAGGAGGGGAGGAGGAGGAGGAGGAGGAGGAGGAGGAGGAGGAGGAGGAGGAGGAGGAGGAGGAGGAGGAGGAGGGGGAGGAGGAGGAGGAGGGAGGAGGAGGAGGAGGAGGAGGAGGAGGAGGAGGAGGCGTGGGCGGCGGCGGAAGAAGCCTGGCGGGGGCCACCCGCCGAGCCGAGGTGGCGCGCAGGCTCGACCCCACGCCTGCCAGCGACGGCCGCCCCCGATTTGAAGGTCGCTGGGGGGGCAGCGATGTTTCAAGGGGCCCAAGGGCACACAAATAGATACACCCAAATAGAAGGACTCCCCATATTTTCCTATATTTTCTGGGTTTCTGTCTTCCCCCCCCCTTCCCATACTTTCCCACATTTTCTGGGGAATCGAGATTTAATTGTGTCTGTGTGTTTCTTTTCCTCCTGAATGTTTCCAGGGCCAGATCCCCGTACGCTCGGCGGGCGCGCTGGATCGGTCAAGAACAATCCTTACCGCCGCCCTTCGCGAGAAGCTCTGATGTCAGGTTGCTCTTGCCCACGATTGGGCTGCTAGTGCTTGCTCGTCCCCTGCACAAAAGCATTGCCCCCTCCCTCGTCGCCCCAGGAACACAGATCGCGTTCGCTGCCCCTCGGCGAGCTTCAACCCCCGATCTCCAGGCCGCCCAAATGAGGTCCGAGTAGATGGAGTCGGAGGACAGCGCCGCATCGCCGACGCATCGGCGGTGCATCGGCGACGTCGGTGATGCATCGCCGCCGTCGGCGTGGAGAAAGTCGGGCTCCGCATCGAGCCGCATCGACGATGCACCAGCCTGCTCAGACCCGATTTGGGAAACCCTGGACGATGATAGGTGCAGTCCTTTGTTTCACGCTGCTGGCCAACTTCGCATTTCAGGATAAGGTCGACCATCCTCAATCAGAAAGGCACGTGTTCGGCCACGCTGTTCCTTATGCCCTACTTCTGCTGCATCCACGAACTTCTGATCAGCGTCCCCCTGACATTATCCCCTTTACCTGTTCCCTCCTGAATCCGATCCGTCCCTCCTCGCCACGATCCGTTGCGCCGCCACCTTCTCCTCCTCCTCCTCGTCCTCCTCCTCCTCATCCTCCTCCTCCTCCCTCCTGTCTGCAAGGTCCTGCATGTTGTATGCCCGGACGCTCGCGGGGGTGCCCTCCACATCGGCCACCCCGGAGCTGACTCCAGACCTGTGGGGGGGTCACCGGGCCGCCCCCAAGACGACATCACCTTCCTGCCCAAACCACCGACGGATGTTTCCTCCGCTTTTTCAATCCTGGAGTGGCTTCTCTGGCTCTTCCCCTGGGAGACGTGCTCGGTCCCCAAGACAATCAACAACTGGTCCAGGACGAACAATCGTCACCCGGGCAAGGGGTCGGGATCCGTCGGGCGGCGGAATGAAGAAACTCATCTCGCCAGATGTCCGCGTCGCCTTCCTGGTCCCCCCATCCGTTCCCGCTGCGTGCGCCAGTCTCCGCCGTCGTGGGGTTCGTGCTGGCGTCGGTGGTCGACAAGTGGGAACGGCGTCGTCCTAGTCAATCTCGCCATTAGTTACCAGCCTGGAACATATCCCTATCCCTATGCTGGGCACCTCCTGATCACGATGCCAATCTTAGGGATTCCCTTATTTTTGAGGGCGAATCCCTGAGATTGTCATCGCCTTTTGGCGTGTCAATCCGCCGACCCTTTGGGGATCATCGGCGTGTGAGATGCTTCCCCCTCCCCAAACCCCTCCCCCGGGAGCCCGGTCCGGTCGATTTGGAGGGGGGGGGGGGGGTCGAGCGCGAACGGGGGGGGTCCGGGACGAGCGACTCACGGGGCTTTTCCGGGCCCAAGAGGGCCTCAAGACGGGCCAAGAAGCCCCCAAGAGGCCTCCAAGACGGCCCACGAAGGCTCCGAGACGCCAAACGACCGGTCCAAGACGTACGATGGCCCCAAGACGGGCCAAGAGGTCTCCAAGACGGCCTCCGAGATCCCAAACAAGCCTCCCAAAAGGGCCCAAAGAGTCTAAAATTGTTGATTTTCCAGAGTGTTTTTCGACGTTTCTTGCTTTCCCGCCTTTCCGGCTTCCCGACGCTCCAAGACGGCCAAAGAGGCCCCAAAGATAGCCCCAAGATGGCCCAAGAGGCCCCCAAGACGGCCTCCAGACGGCCCAAGACGGCCCCAAGACGGCCCAAGAGGTCCCCAAGACGGCCCAAGAGGGCCGATTTGGAGGGGGGGAGGGGGCCGGGACGAGCGCAGCACGGCCGGGACGAGCGGTTCCAGGGCTTTTCCGGGCCCAAGAGGGCCTCAAGACGGGCCAAGAAGCCCCCAAGAGGCCTCCAAGACGGCCCACGAAGGCTCCGAGACGCCAAACGACCGCTCCAAGACGCCCACGATGGCCCCAAGACGGGCCAAGAGGTCTCCAAGACGGCCCCCGAGGTCCCAAACAAGCCTCCCAAGAGGGCCCAAAGAGTCTAAAATTGTTGATTTTCCATAGTGTTTTTCGACGTTTTTTGCTTCTCCGCCTTTCCGGCTTTCCGACGCTCCAAGACGGGCAAAAAGGCTCCAAAGATAACCCCAAAATGGCCCAAGAGGCTCCCAAGACGGCCTCCAGACGGCCCAAGACGGCCAAAGAGGTCCCCAAGACGGCCCAAGAGGGCCGATTTGGAGGGGGGGAGGGAGCCGGGACGAGCGCAGCACGGCCGGGACGAGCGGTTCCAGAGTTTTTCCGGGTCGAAGAGGGCCTCAAGACGGGCCAACAAGCACCCAAGAGGCCTCCAAGACGGCCCACGAAGGCTTCGAGACGCCAAACGACCCCTCCAAGACGCCCAAGATGGCCCCAAGACGGGCCAAGAGGTCTCCAAGACGGCCCCCGAGGTCCCAAACAAGCCTCCCAAGAGCGCCCCAAGAGTCTAAAATTGTTGATTTTCCATAGTGTTTTCTGATGCTTTTTGTTTTTCCGCCTTTCCGGCTTCCCGACGCTCCAAGACGGGCGACGAGGCCCCAAAGATAGCCCCAAGATGGCCCAAGAGGCTCCCAAGACGGCCCCCAGACGGCCCAGGACGGCCCCAAAACGGCCCAAGAGGTCCCCAAGACGGCCCAAGAGAGCCGATTTGGAGGGGAGCGGGAGGGCCCGGGACGAGCGCAGCACGGCCGGGACGAGCGGTTCCAGGGCTTTTCCGGGCCCAAGAGGGCCTCAAGACGGGCCAAGAAGCCCCCAAGAGGCCTCCAAGACGGCCCACGCAGGCCCCGAGACGCCAAACGACCGCTCCAAGACGCCCAAGATGGCTCCAAGACGGGCCAAGACCGCCGCTCGAGCCGCAGACGCAGGCGGCCAATCCCAGAGAGGAATGAGAAGCTCAATGTCATTTCCTATTCCTCCGCCTCCTCCTCGTCCCCCCTTCTCCTCCCCTTCCTCCTCTTCCTCTTTCTCCTGCTCCGTCTCCTTCGCCCCGCTCTTACGCTCGCAGCGTCACTCGTCCTCCTCCTCCTCCTCATCCTCCTCCTCCCACTGCTCCGAATACCCCAGCCTGCCCAATCACGGATCCGCCCCAGTTTCGGAATCCACAACTTACGTCCAGCATCCGCCGACCCCGCAGAAATCGAGGTGCCGTGGCGCTTCCATCTAGTGAACATGCCTCCAATTTGGCACACCCCGCACGCGGCAACTTGAATGAAAGGCCCCAAAACCCGAGTATACGCGCGGTTCCCCGCGAACATTGGGCACGTCCCTCATAGATTTCGTGGCTCCACGGCGCGCTCCAACCATAGCCCCAGTACCCGCGGTCCCGTAAACTTCCAACCCCAAGCGCACACACACGTCGATCGTGTCGTGGCTCCAGAATACGTCCACCGTGGGGCCCAGTGGGAAGATTCGCATGCAAGTATACCCCATGCCGGCACACCCTTTGCACGCGCCGTGGCCTCGCACATGGCCAAGTTGACCCATCATGACTCCTGGACAGTCCCCCCAAAAAACTCCCGACCGCTACCGAAACGGCTCGAAGACATTCCCGAGCCTAACCTGGCTCCATTATGCCTCTCAGATGGCCCCAGATGAGACCACGACCGCCCGCGGTGTCGCCGTCCGCTCGGACACCCCCGCGGAACTGCCCGAGACCCTCTGGCAGTGGCGGCGAACAGACACCAAACAAATATCACTCGCCTTTTCACCCCTTCGCAGCTTCTACTGCCCCCCGATTGGCATAAACAAGGGGTCGGCGGTGTGGCGTAAGCCTAAGAATCTTAGGGATAGGGATACGTTCGAGGCTGGTAAATTAGCCCGAGGAGGATGGCGGCAGGGGGAAGTCCCCCTCGACGAGGCAGCAGAAGGCATGCGGGCCAGCGTCGAGGCCCGAGGACGGGGCACGGCGCCCCGTCAAGCAGCCTGCCCATCGGCCATGGATCCTGGGGCTTCTCACGAGGCCTGTTTTAAAGGGCCCTGGGACACACAAATAAGTACACAGAAATAAAAAGGTTCCCCATAGTTTCCCCTATGTTCTGGGCTGTTGTCTTCCCCCCCAACTCCCATAGTTTCCCACATTTTCTTGGGGGTCGAAGATTCATTGTGTCTGTGTGTTTTTTCCCCTCCTGATGCTTCTCCATCCCAGGCCGTCTCTGGACAGCCCTGGGGCCCGAGAAAGGAGCCCAGGCTGGAGGCGGCTGGGGGGGATCTGAGCTGGGCGGGCCCCGAGAGAAACTGCCAATGGCGGGGGGGGGGGATGGGACCGACTCCTCTCCCAAATCGGCGCCAAAACCGCTCCCCGGGTCCGCCTGGTGCAATTGTTTCCTTCTCCACCTGCTGCTGCTCCTCTTCCTCCTCCTCGTCCCCCCTACCTCCTCTCTCCTCCCTCCTCCCTCCTCCCTCCTCCCTCCCCCCCCTCCCCCCCTCCCCTCCTCCTCCTCCTCCTCCTCCTCCTCCTCCTCCTCCTCCTCCTCCTCCTCCTCCTCCTCCTCCTCCCTCTATCCGCTTTTGCCGGTCCCCCGGCCCTGAAACGGCCCCGGGAGGCCGAAGAGGGCAACAGGACGGAACACCAGTGCTGGGCCACTGCAGACCCCCAGCGGGCTCTGGCCATCGTTCGGACGTCCATTCCCGGTGTTTTTTTCAGTTTCGTACGTGGCTTTTTCGCCAAATGATTCAGCATGCTCCTCGATTGTCTTCGCCGAAAGACAGATGCACACGTCCGAGCGATGCCAAGGGCTCCAGGGCCCAGGGCAGGCCAAGGACGGCGCCCGCGTCCCCTCAAATGACCCCTGTTGCTCGCGGCGGCCTCTGCGCTCGCTCCACGCAAGGGAAGCGGGAGATGGATCTCAAGGCTCTCCCCCAGGGCCAGCTACCCACCCCTCGCCATCGCTCGGACGTCCATTCCCTGTTGTTTTTCGGTTTCGTGTGTGGTTTTTTCGCCAAATGATCAGGGGTGCTCCTCGATGGTCCTCGCCGAAGGAAAATGCACACGTCCGAGCAATGCCAAGACCCCGAGCCGCTGTCCGACAGCCCTGGGGCCCGCAAAGAGGACTCCGAGGAGCCCGAGGACGGCGAGGCGCAGCAGGGCCCGTCTCTTCCAGGGTCCGCCTGCTCGCGGTGAGCAGATGCGGGCAGGAGGGTCTGGGAGCCGGACTTGCAGACTTGCATCAGGTAGCGCAGGGGCACCATCGTCTTCCAGTACAGTGACAGCAGGGTGAGAACCTGGCCGCCCCGACTGAAAGGTCGCCGATGCGCCGTCTCGCTGGCTGCTGCAGCTTCCCCTTCGCCTAATCACTGCCACTGTCCCCGCCCCCCCGTCTTCCTCCTCCTCCTCCTCCTCCTCTTCCTCCTCCTCCTCTTTCATTCCTTCTCCTGGTCTATAGCTTTTTCCTGCCGCACCCTGAGGCTGATCGAAAGGGCGGGCCGGGCGATTCGCCTGAGACTTCCTCACCATTTATGGCCCTGAATCTGAGAAATTGTTCAGGGCTTTGCATGTTGAGGGCGGGTGGTTTTTGTAAATGTGGCTCTCACATTAGCGCCGTGCACATTCGTTTAAATCCGCCGATCCGGCGCGTGAGTTTAAGGGGGCGGGGGTGACCGGGGTGGCTTTGCCGGGGAGGGGGGGGGGAGGGGGGGAGGGGGGAAGGGGTCCGGTGGCGTGGGTTTTGGTGGCGTGGGGAGGGGGTCCGGTGGCGTGGGTTTGCTTCAAAAACCCTTGGGTTTCCTCAGAAACCGCCTCAGAACGCTTGGTTTGCCGGAGAGGGGGGGGGGAGGGTTCCGGTCGCGTGGGTTCTGGTGGCGTGGAAGGGGGGGGGTCCTGTGGCGCGAGTTTTGGTGGCGGAGGGGGGGGGGTCCTGTGGCGTGGGTTTGCTTTCAAAGCCACTGGATTTCCTTAGAAATCGCCTAAGAACGCTTGGTTTGCTGGGGAGGGGGGGGGGTCAGGCGGTGTCCGGGGGTGTTTTTACAAAAGGACCCTCTGTAGATGCGCTCCAGGGGTGGCGCGCGGGCTTCGCAGCTTTTACAGACGCTCAAGGGGTGGCGGATTTGGCGCTTCGCGCGCGAGTCGGCGTGTTCGCGCGAGAGACAAATAAACAGCGGGTGGGGGTGAGCAGAAACGACAATTGTAATGTTGTGGAAACTGATCGTGGTGACGCGCGCGAGTGCGGAATGGCCAAAGGCAGCGACAAAATAGTGTGCGCGTGTGGCGTGTGGTGTCTGTGTGTGTGTGTTGGAGCGTGCGCCCGTAATGTTTGGGTCTGGGGGGTAACCCTTGGGTCGGGCCCAACCCAGCTATACCTTGGGGGGTAGCGCGGTGACACCGCATGCCTGGCAAGATCTGGACGGTCACCAAACATAAGTTGCCAGGCGCGCGTTGGTCTTCAGATGCTCATGCCAGGGCGCGGGCCATGATGGAGGGAAGAAGTGGGACGTGCATGGGTATTGTGTGAGAGCTGGCGCTTACAATTCTAATTGTGGGTCGCTCTGAAGCATGCACTCCTTGAGTCCCCGATGCATCTGCACCCCCTGGGATGCTCCTGGTGCCTCGGCTGGCCTCCAGCGGAGCCGCGGGCAACCGAACAGGAACGATGCCTGGACGCCGCCATCGTTTCCGTCCCCGCATGGTGCCAGCGGGGAGGGGCTGGCAAAAATATGTTTCCGCCCCCCCCCGCGTGGTGCCAAACAAGTCCACCGATTTGTTGCCGGCCCCATGTTTTGAAGGATTGGCGAAAATCCGCGGTGACCGCCGGCTGGGGCTGGCAAAAATATGTTTGCCGGCCCGACACCCCTGGCACCAGCGGAACGCCACAGGCACCGACACCGGCGAATCCAGTGCCGAACTTGACCCAACGGCGCGGTGAGTGGCATTTCATCTCGACGGTGCTTCCGAGATTCATGCGACGCCATCTGCCCCGGTATGTGCACCCCTGCCCCCTGCCCTCGTCGCCCTTTCCCCATCCCCCATCTCTCACTCCCCCCTCCAATTGCTCCTCCCTCATCCCACTCCTCCCTTTTTCTCTTTTGATCTAACACAATTTTTATCTGGGCCTCTTCGCACCAGACTGGCGATGTCACCACGGCCCTCAATATGGTGACGATTTGGTGCCCATCCTGTGGCCGCCTATACGATATCTATAACACTAAGGTAACGCCACTACTTTTAGCTGGGTTGGGCCCGACCCAAGGTAACCCCGAGCGACCCGGATCGGCGGCACTGGCCGAAGGCCACTTGAATAATGAAAGGTTTTCGCGGATTGAGGGCAGGTGGTTTTCAAAATGTGGCTGTCGCCTTAGCGCCGCGCGCATTCGTCGAACAAGAACTGCAACCGTTTCACGGATTGAGGGCGGTTCTTTCTCAAAATGTGGCTCTCGCCGTAGCACTGCGCACATTCGTTCCAACATGTGCAAGAGCGTCACGGATTGAAGGCGGTTCTGTTTTCAAAATGCGGCTCTCACCTTAGCGCCGCGCACATTCAGTTTAAACCGTTGCAAGAGCTTCGCGGACTCCCATGGTCAACGTACCAAAAATGTTTTTCTGGAAGGACTCTGGATTGTGAGAGCGTAACAGTTACGTTGATTCGCGGTGTTGAAGTCCCAGGGACGGCATTCTGGCACGACTCAGGATCGTCCAGACGCAACAATCATGTTGATTCGTGGCCTTGGAGTCCCCAGATTAATGTGTTGGCAACTTCAGGGTCCACAAACGGCTGCCTTCCAATGAGGCGCTTCCCTCAGGAACACTTGTGAAGGCCTCTGTAGAGGGAGCATGGAGGGAGGGCATATTCCAACATCAACAATGAGTCTTGGGTTTATACTGGTCCTCCTCCTCCTCCTCCTCCTGCTCCTCCTCCCCCATCCTACATCTCTTCCCTCTCTACCTCCCCCTCTTCCTCCTCCTCCTCTTCCCATCATCATCATCATCATCATCATCATCATCATCATCATCATCAACATCATCGTCATCATCCTCAGCATCATCATCATCTCCATCATCATCAGCATCATCATCACCACCACCATCATCGTCATCGTTCTCATCATCATCATCATCATCATCATCATCATCAGCATCATCATCATCATCGTCATTATCATAATCGTCATCATCGGCAACATCATCATCAACATCATCATAATCATCATCATCGTCATCGTCATCATCATCAACAACATCAACATCACCGTCATCAGAATAATCCTCCTCCTCCACCTCCTCCTCCACCTCCTCCTCCTCATCGTCATCCTCATCTGCTTCCTCTTCTCCCTCCCTCCTTCCGCCTCCTCCGTCCGTCTCCTGCTGCTCCTCCCTTCCCCTCCTCCTCCTGCTCCTGCTCCCTGCTGCTGCTCCTCCCCCCCCTCCTCCTCCTCCTCCTCCTCGTTCTTCTCATCCTGCGCATGAGCATTCGGTGTGCTCGCACCCCGGCTTCCCCGACGTGTCCCGCCTCGCTCCAGCGCGCCCCCCCCGAGGCCTGGGGGGAGGGGGGGCCCGCCGAGCGGAGCCGGCAGGGCCACCGCGGGCCACACCCGAGGAGCGCCTGCTCGGGCAAGGGGCTGGGGCGAGCACCTCCCGGAAGCAGCGCCACGGCGCCCCTCATCGTGAAGCCTCTGGTCCGGCGAGAAGTCCCGAGGCACCAAGTGTCCAGGGATCCCCTTCCCCTGTAATCAAACGACTTCCCCGTCCTGGAAAAGCTCCCCGTGAGCACACACACACACACACACACACACGCACACATAAAAAACAACACCAACTTGAACACCCATGCCGTGATGGTGCCTGAAGGCCCGGCTCCAAATGAGCTGGTCGCGCGTGCGCTTCACGGTCCGCCTGAGCCCAACGGCAGAATCACGACCCGCAGGGCGAAACGCAGTTCCATCCTCACCTCGCCAAAGCACCGACGAAACAAGCTACCGCCCAAGCTCGAGCAGGACTGCAACCGCTGCAAGAGCAGACCCTCCAGCACGCCGCCATGCTTTCATCCCAGAGATGCTGGTGTCATTCCCACACGCGTGCTTGCAAAGTGTCTGAACTCTCAGCCTGTCGTGGCCAATCAGCATCGCCCAAACCAGAGCATAGCCTTGCAGCCGAACACGCCCCACTCAAAAACTTCCAGCAACGCGGTGGTACACTCCAGCACGCCAACATTAGAACAGACACCAGCTTGACCTCGGGCACTCTGCTCCCGAGGTCCTGACATTCCTACAGCGTGGTGTCCCCAGGTTCCGACCGCAAGCACTTCAGGTTTATACAATTTCGGCGCTTCGTTGACAAGTCTGGTTAGGTACTCAACTGAGCTAGCTTTGGCCACGGCGTTCTTTCGAAGCATCTGGATAATCGAAGTGGTCATCCTCTTCCCAGCAGTGGTGGTGCCCAACTCATGCGTCTCACTCGAAACTTTGCTCTTGAAGCCTGCAGCCCTGAGATCATTCAGCACCATCATGAGAAGCGGCCTCTGATTTCCAACCAAGGCCGACTTCTTGGAAAGAGACGAATCTGCACCCTGGATGTCATGCCCACGACTATTGCACAACAACGCCAACAACATGTCTACGTACGTACCTGCTCGACAAAACCCTGAGCAACATGGGCAATGTCGTCAGCATACGCGTGAATACATACACCAGTATGATATCGATATGCCCATCGTTTAGTATCTGGTGCAAATATCTCTTAACCCATGGCATACTCCGCATACATTCGGGAAGAACCGCAACTCCAGAGCCTATGCTGTGATAGCAAAGCGCCTTACAGGTGGAGGAGGATGAGGAGAAGTTGGGGCTGCGAGCCCCTCCAGCACTAAAGTGGCCCCTGTTTCCAGCTTTCTGCGCCGCAGAAAGGAGCGACTTCGGCGGGGGTGCGGGGCGATGGCAGGGGGCAACGTTGGAGGGGGCCAGCTCAGGGATGAAGCATGGACCTAGACTCGGCGATGCATCGTCGATCGGTCGGCGATGGACCCCCGATAGTAAATCTACGCTCCTGGGCGGGGTGGGATCTGGGACCCCTGTCTTGAGCAGGGGCCGGCCGTCCAGGCATTCCCATAGTCCTGCCACGAAACGTTCCTAGAACCCAAGAGTGTTCTAAGAACAAAAACCGTGTTCTTAGAACATAAGCCCGATGTGTTAAAACAAGACGGTCCCAGCCAGGAATGTTCGGAATGTTCGGAGAGCATCTCGTGGAGACCTCAACAGGCTCCCAGAACATTGTTTGGTAGGCCTATAGGCGAGCCAGGACGCTTCGCTACTGCTTGACTGTCGGCTGTGCATGGGCGATCGTCGGGCGACGCGTTCCCCCCCGAGCCTGCACCCCCCCCCCCCCTCTCTGGAAGCTCGAAAAGGGTACGGAAAAAATAGGCACAATGCCGCACAACAGATGTTGCCCCAAACCAACACAGGCCGCTGCTGGGCAGACGGCCTTCTGTCTTGAAGAGCGGACGCAGGCCGCGGCGGCGCGGACAGCGAGTCCTTTCCAAAATGAAAATCGGGGAACGAAAAGTGACATATACATAAAAACTCGGAGGTCCGCGCGGATTTCTCGGATCGGCGCTGGACCCCCCTCCCTGGCGCGCGGAGCGCGCCAGGGGCGGCGCCGGAGGCGCCGCCGGGGGGGGGCCAGCGCCGATCCGAGAAATCCACGCGGACCTCCGAGTTTTTATGTTTGTGTCACTTTTCGTTCCCCTAGAACAAGAACTGCTGTTGGGCACTGTACCCATTCTTTCCGTACCCATTTCGTTCGTGCAGACTGGGGGAGGAGGAGGAGGAGGAGGTGGCGGCGGCGGGCGGCGGCGGGGAGGAGTGAGTAGGAGGAGGAGGAGGAGGAGGAGGAGGAGGAGGAGGAGGAGGAGGAGAGGAGGAGGAGGAGGGGGAGGAGGAGAGGAGGAGGAGAAGGAGGAGGAGTAGGAGGAGGAGGAGGAGGAGGAGGGGAGGAGGAGGGAGGAGGAGGAGGAGGAGGGAGGAGGAGGTGGAGGAGGGGGGGAGGAGGAGGAGGGAGGAGGGAGGGTGGAGGGAGGGAGTAGGAGGAGGAGGAGGAGGGGAGGTAGGAGGAGGAGGAGAGGGAGGAGGAGGAGGAGGAGAGGAGGAGGAGGGAGGGAGGAGGAGGAGGAGGAGGAGGGAGGAGGAGGAGGGAGGAGGAGGAGGGAGGAGTAGGAGGAGTAGGAGGAGTAGGAGGAGGAGGAGGAGGAGGAGGATTATTATGACGTCCCGACCCTCCCCCGGCTCTCGGGTCACAACTCGGCCCTCTGGCGGCCGCTCGGGACGACTCGGACGCCCCCTCTGGGGGCTCTCGGCGACGCGCAGCTGCCGGAAGGCACCCCGAGGCTGGAAGACCCGCCCAGCACCGACGAAGACGTCCGAAGCTCGAGCCCACTAACCGTTGCCCCTGAGCTGGAGGCCGCGAGTCTGATGGGCCTGTTTTCCACCACCACCACCACCACAAGTTGGAGGGGGAGGTGGTCCTCCCCATCCTCCTCCTCCTCCTCCTGCTTGTCTCGTCCTCCTCCTCCTCATCCTTTTTCACCTCCTCCTCCTCCTCCTCCTCCTCCTCCTCATCCCCTCCAACTATGGTGTTGGTGGTGGAAAACAGGCCCATCTGAGTCGTCCATTCTCGCTTGGGATGGGCGCAGGGACGCAAAGGAGCTCCCTGCGGGTCGGGTGTTGCTAGAAGTGCCCCTGGCCCAAGGTGTCCCCCAGGATTTCCACGGAGACCCCCACGGCCCCCAGGGCACCCCTCACGAGGCCCAGAGGGCCCCAGGGGCTCAAAAATGAAGCAAAAAGCTGGGGGCACCTTGGGCCAGCGGTACCTTTGGCAATTCCCGAGCGGAGCTGGTCCGACAGGTCCAATCCCCAGCGGGCACCAGGTAGTAGAAGGGGACGCACAGGATCGTGAACCACAGCGGCATCTGACGCGCAGGGAAATGGCTTCCTCCACGCTCCTCCTCATCCTCCCCCGAAGAAATGGGAACGCACAGAAGCGGGACCACAGCCGCATCTGGCGCGCAGGGAACGGGGGGGAAGCAGATGAGCGACGAACAGAAACTTGTCTTACGCATGATGACTTAGCGACGTTACGCCGCGGCTCACGCGGGCCACCAGCGTGGCTTACCGCGTTCAGAAGAGGGCGCTGACGAGCAACCTCACGCGGGAAGATTACTTACGCACCAATGTCAGCGCAGTTGGACCCATCGCAGTGGTCCGCATGGAGCACCACATAGGGAACAAGGATGGCTTCTCTGGCCACGGCGAGCCTCGGCCACGGCTAGGCTCCCCGACCCAGCTTGCGAGGCCAGCGCTCACACACCACAGAACCGCCCGCAGCAATCACTGATCGCAGAAGTGGCTGGTGACTGCCTACCAGACCACCCCAAGCCAACCCGAAGGCCCGAATTTCGGGCTGGGGGGGGTAAGGGTTACACGCGCGTGTTCTCGATGTTTCCCGCCGCCCCCCCCCCCACTAGAAATCGAGGGTAAATCTGAGCCTTCGGGTTGGGTTGGGGTGGTTTGGTGGGTGGTGAGTTGGGGGCAGGGTCATGCCAGACAACGCTGCGACCCCGCGGCGAAAAGGAGCGCGGCGCGGCGCGCGGGCGCGGTCGTAGGGCAGTTCTTGAAGCAGCAAGAGCACCTCTTGGTGGCGGTAAAAGAAGCGCTCCTCTCCGTAACCAAAATTACGTACACTACCACCGCGCGTGCTTTGATGAATTGTGTTTCGGCCCTCAAGACAGAGAGGGCAGCCCAGCTGCCGTTGGCGGCGAAACGGGGGCTGCGGGTTTTCCACCAAGGGAAAACTGCACCAAATCGGATCGTAGATGTTTCCCGATCTTGGTGGTGGTCATAGATTGTGCTCGGATAGTTCTAAGGAAGGGCCCAACAAATCCCAAAAGTGGTCTTTCTTTCAGCGACTTGATTGCACGTCGCCCACATCCGGGGAGACTCAAGAGTCGAGTTTGGAGGACTCGAGTTGGCCTGACGGGGCCGTCTCGAAAATTACGAGACCCAATCTGAAATTTGACGCGGGCTATCGCTGCGAACATCCCCTGAAAACTGGACAGTGGAAATCTGGGACGGGCCCGTCAAAAAAAGCGTCAGCAACATCCCCGAGCTCCAGCGAACTCGAGTCTCACGCTTCCCCGACACTTGGGCGTGAACCGCAGCTGCATCTGGGGCGCACGGACGGGGGGAGCACAAACTCACTTGATCTAGTAGAGCCCGGAATCGGATCGAAAATTCGAATCGGCGATCGATATGAAAGAGAGAGCGATACTCCCCCCCCCCAAAAAAAAAGCTCAGCAACCGCGGGGGGGGGAGACTCAAAAGGGAGGCCCCCCCCCCCCTGCGCACTGCAGAGGTGGTGGGGGGGGCAAAGGGGGGATCCCCCCCCCCCCGGACACTCGAGGCTCTGTCCTGCCGCGCGCTAGAGCCCCTCCCCCGGCTTCCCGCGCCCACAAGGAGGGAACCTCCCCCGCTCCCCCGGCACTCGCGACTCACTCTTTCCTTCCGCGCCCGCAAGGGGGGACCCCTCCCTCCCTCCCCGGCACTCGCGACTCACTCTCTCCTCCCGCGCTCACAAGGGGGGGACCTCCCCCCCCCCCGGCACTCGAGACTCACTCCCCTCCCGCGCTCACAAGGGGGGGACCCCCCCCGCCCCCTCGGCACTCGAGACTCTCCCCTGCTCGCGCCCAGAAGGGAGGGACTCCCCCTCTCTCCAACATTCGATAGTTTATCCTGCCCGCGCCCAGACGGGGAGGACGCCCCCCCCTCCGGCATTCGACTGTTTCCCGCCCGCGCCCCGAGGGGGGGGACCCCCCCCCCCCAGCGCGCTAGGAACGACGAGAAAGAAAGCAGAGCGAACGGAGGGGCCGTCTCTCTGACGGCCCCCCTTCGCTGGAGGAGTTAAAACAAGACAGTCCCAGCCAGGAATGTTCTAAGAACATTCCGTGGAATCCACAAAAAGGTTCTTAGAACATTGTTTGGTAGGGCCATCGGCGAGCCAGGACTCTTCGCCACTGCTTGAGATATGTGCACCTCTGGGGCGGTCCTGGGACGCACCGGTGCCCGGACCCGAGCTCCTCCTCCTTCTCCTCCCAATCCTCCTCCTCTCTCCTCCTCTTCTCCAATCTCCTCTCTCCTCCTCCTCCTCCTCCTCTCCTCCTCCTCCTCCAATCCTCCTCCTCCTCCTCCTCCTCCTCCTCCTCCTCCTCCTCCTCCTCCTCCTCCTCCCAATCCTCCTCCTCATGCACCATCCCCGAGCAGGCACGCCAGAAATGCGGTGGGCTCGGGATGCTGTGCTCCACTGCGCCGCGGCGAGCCGCTGCGCCCCTCGCTCGGACCGCAGGCCCGCCGCCGAGCTGCTGGCGGCGACGGCGGGGCCCCGCAGGGCCCCTTGCCACGCAGCCGTCTCTCGACTGCCCGCCGACCTCCAGAGCCCCCGACGCTCCTCATCCCTCCCTCGCCCACATCACCCACCGTCTCTAGCACCTCCCCCCTCTCCCATCGTCATCATCATCATCATCATCATCATCATCATCATCATCATCATCATCATCATCATCATCATCATCATCATCAGCATCAGCATCAGCATCAGCATCATCATCATCATCATCCTCATCCTCATCCTCATCCTCATCCTCATCATCATCAGCATCAGCATCAGCATCAGCATCATCATCATCAGCATCATCATCATCATCGTCATCGTCATCGTCATCGTCATTATCATCATCATCATCATCATGATCATCATCATCATCATCATCATCGTCATCATCCTCATCGTCATCATCACCATCATCATCGACAGCATCACCATCATCACTATCATCATCAGCACCATCATCATCATCATAATCGCCATCAACGTCAGCGTCGTCATCATCATCATCAGCAGCATTAGCGGCGGCAGCAGATGCAGCAGGAGCATCATCAACATGAACATCATCATCACCACCACTATCGTCGTCATCACCATCATCAACATCGCCATCGCCATCAACAGCAGCATCACCATCACCACCATCACCACCATGATCATCATCAGCATCATCATCAGCATCATTAGCATCATCATTGTTGCCATCGTGATCAGCGTCATCACCATGACCATCACAATCACCAACATCAACAGCAGCCTGCATCAGCATCAGCCTCAGCATCATGATATTCACCATCAGCATCAGCACCATCATCATCGCCATCATGTTGACATCATTATTAGAATTACCACCGCCACCATCATCACTATGATGATCATCATCATCATCAGCAGCAGCATCAGCATCAGCATCTTCACCACCACCACCACAATCACGACCACCACCACGCCCGTCACCATCACCGTCACCATCACACACTCCATCACAACCACTATCACCACCATCCTGTAATCATCAAAATCTGCAGTAACACCAACATCAACAGCAGTAGCATCATCAGCATCACCACCAGCATCGTCATCATCATCACCGTACCAAGCACCATCACCATCATCAGCAGCATTACCATCAACATCAACATCGACATACTCATCATCAACAACATCATAATCAGCAACATCGTCAGCATCTGTATCATCATCACCATCAACGTTAGCGTCATCATCGTTAGCATCAACATCATCAGCAACAACAACAGCAACTGCATCAGCATCGGCATCACCATCATCGTAATTACCACCGTCACCATCACCATCAGCAGCATCACCAACATCAGCATCATCAATTACATCATTAGTACCATCAACGTCGTCATCATCGGCATCATCACCATGACCACCGCAATCAGCATCATCAGCAGCAGCCTCAGCATCATCAGTATCATCATGGTCACCACCATCTTCAGCATCATCATCACCATCATCATCATCATCAGCAGCATCAGCATTAGCATCAGCATCAGCATCATCATCGCTAACATCCTTACCATCATCACCAATCAGCATCATCATCATCAACGTCAGCATCAGCATCAGATTCAGCACCATCATCGTCACCACCGCCACCATCATTAGCATACCCACCACCACCACCACCATCACCACCTTCATCACCATCGGCATCAGCACCATAACCATCACCATCACCACAATCATCATCAGGGGCGACATGCACATCATCACCATCCTCAACATCACCACGACCACCATCATCAGCATTACCGTCACCATCACCATCACCATCATCACCACCATCATCGACAACATCAGAAGCCGCACAATGATGATCATCATCACCATCAACATCAACATCCTCAGCATCATCATTGTAATGACCATTCATCACCATGGCCATCACCATCATCAGCATCATCAGCAGCATCATGAGAATCAGCATCATGATCATCATCACCACCATCATCATCAGCAGCAACAGCAACGTCAACACCATCATCAGCCTTACCACAGCCATCAGCATCATTGTCATCATCGTCATCAGTACCACACTCCCCATTTCCACCATCATCAGCATCATCATCCACATCATAATCATCATCAACATCATCATCAGCATCAGCATGGGCATGATCTGCTTCATCAGCACTATTATCATCATCATCATCATCATTCTCGTCATCAGCATGATGATCATCATCATGCTCACCGCCATTATCAGAATCACCATGATCACCGCCGTCACCATTACCGTCACCATGACCATCACCATCATCACCAGCAACATCAGCATCGTCGTGAGCACAATCATCATCACGCTCATACTCAGGATCAGCATCCGCATCACCACCACCACCACCACCATAACACGCACCATTACCATCACCATCACAACGCCCACCACCATCAACGGCATCATCATCATCAGCAGCAGCATAATCATCACAGTCACCATGACCTTCAACATCACCATCATCATCAGGGTCATCATCATCATCACAATCGCCGTCATCATCC